GCAAATGTGTATTAGTAGTTGCCTAGGCATATTATCTTACACTTCTGGAGGTCAAAATTCCTTCGCTTGGGTTTTTGAACTTCTAGCAACTGCCCAACACTCCTCTGCTCGTGGTTCCCTTCCATCATCAAGGCTGCAAAGGCCAGTGGAGTCTGTCTCCCTTATGTGATGGGAGAGTGTGTCGCTCGGATCCTGACTCTCTCGTCTCCCTCCTTCTGTTGTTTAAGCTCCCTTGTGATTACACTGAACCCTCGTCAAGGAACTGAGCTCTGCTTTGATTCTGAAGGATCAGCAGAGGTCAGGGAGATGAGCGCAGTGAGGCCATCAGAGCTGACACAGACCGTGTGCACAGAAAGAGGACTGAGGGAGGAAAAGACACTGAGACCCACAAGCAGCTCCTCCAAGGGCGGCTCATGAAGACCTAGTTCACCAAGAGAAGGAGGCTGAGATTTCTTCCTGAAGACCCTGGGGAAGAACTTCTCCCTCCCTACTCATACACAAACCCTTTATGATCCCCCACAAGAAAAGATAATGTATGCTGGTGACCCGGAGAAAATGAACTTAACAGCATCATTTAGTATCAGATAAATTGTGAAGAAAGCATGCATTTGTAAGGCTCTCTATCCTATTTACATTATTTTTAAAAACTAGTTTATGATATTAAGGGGGGGATATTTTATTAAACTTAGTAAGATAAGATTTATGTCTCATATAGTAGAAATGAGTTAGGGACAATGTTCTAGTACTTAAAGGGTACAGTTTTCATTATCCAGAAAAACTATATAGTGTAATACAGAATAACTTACCCATGCCTAATTTACCTATGCTATAACACACATGTCAAATATTTTAAGAAATTATATTAGTGTTTTTATTCCTAACTAGCAATGCTTGTTGCTGTGTTCATAGTGACATAGTTATTTACAAATCCAATTTCTTTGAACTACAAGTGAAAATCAGTTTTCCACATAACCTTGAATTGTTCCCTAGTCTTCAGTAGCCAGAATCCATCCAAAGCTGCACAATAACAGTAGGGAAGACAATATGAAAACAAACATTCCACTGATAACTACTACTGATTTTAGTAGAATGGTATAAACATATCCTGTTGATTATTAAAATAGTAAAACATTCTGAAAAATTACTTCCTGATTTTAACTTTTCTTTAGGGTTAAATTCTTAACATCAAACATTAACAAATGTATTTGTTTCCTGTGTTAAAAGAACAACACCGAAAACTTTTCTCCAGAATCTTCCCCTTCTCTGAATAATAATGATATGCTATACAAATAGAGTACTATGTCTCAGCTTTCAAATGGGAAAAATTATTTAAATTAAGGCCAGGATATAAAGACATATATTTCAGGAGACTTAAACAATTTATTATAGATATTTCTGGTCAATCTGCAATGGAGAAAGCAATATAGTAATGGTCATGGCTTTATACAAGGCACAAAAAAGGAGATTTCCCAGACATTGGATTAATATTTGTTGATCCAATTACTGTACTCCAGGCACCACAGTACAGTAATAAAAAAAAAAACAAAACCCAAGATCCCTACCTTCACAGATTAACTAAAGCAGTATCTCAAAGAGGTATCAAGATCCAAGACATAGAAACAAAGTACACGTCCATCAGTGGGTGAATGTATAAAGAAAATGTGTTATGTATAAAACAATGAAATATTATTCAGCCAAAATATTGAAACCCTGCTTTTTGTGACAACATAGAGAAAACTTGAAAGCATTATGCTAAGTAAAACAGGCCGACTAAAACAAATAATTTATATTCTCATTTATTTGGGGAATCTAAAAGAGGTGAACTCATAGAAATAGAGAGTTGAATACTTGTTGCCAAGTGTTAAATGTTAGCGGAAATGCACTAACGTTGGTCAGATGGTACACATTCCAGGTATAAGATGAATACACCCTGGGGATCTTATGTACAGCCGGTGAATATAATTAATGATACTGTACTAGATACTTGAAAGTTGTTGAAAGAGTAGGTCTTATCGTTATTAGTGCATGCACACCAATGACACCTATGAGAGGGGTGATGGTTTAATAACCTCACTGAGGTAATCATTCTGCAACACATACATGTATCGCATTGTAAACCTTAAACGTACACGTTATATATCAATAATATCTGATCAGTAAAGCTGGAAAAAAGTATAAACACAGAAAATACAAGACTAAAGTTGTTTAATTATAAAATAGAGTGATGATAGCTGAAGGCCCACGATTGTTTTAATCTTTGATTTTAAAATGTCTAATAAATAATATACTATAAAAACGGAGAATAAATATTATAAAGCTAGTTTGCTTGCCATGAAAATCCAAATTATAAATAAACAGGTATGACAAAAGATGTCATGAGAATTTCACAAAATTATTTGGATCAAAGAGAGACACCAAAGTTAAACAGCTATGGAGTGAATAAAAAATCGGAGGGGTATAAACACCAGTTCTTGTGAATACAATCTTATTAACATAAAAAAACTACAGTTTTCCACACTTAAAGCACAAATCTTCAGGTAAACAAACCTAGCTCACATAAGCTAAAACAAGAAGCAAACAAAAAAATGGCAACTGATAAATTAAAGTAATTAAGGACCTTATGGGGAATGAGGTGGGTGATGGCGGAAGTGCACGTAATAATTTCAAGCAAACACAGAGAACTCTCAAACTGTGGAAAACAAATTTATCATCGTACAATCCTGGGAGAGAAGAACCAAGAAAATGTTATCATTAAATTTAGACTTTCACAGGAAAACTAGTCAAGGTTACTAAAGAATCTTATAGTCTTTATCTGCTTCCTGTCTGTGCTTTGTAAACTCCACCACCACCACCCCACCCCCAACCCAGGTAGTGAACTTTGATAATGGTCTAATATTGGCTTTCCACAACAGTCCGACTGAAATGACTGGTGATAAGAGCATGCTTTTAGACACAATTATCAGTACCTCGTGCTCTAGAAAATACAACTCTGCATACAGCGCTGTTTTAGAGGCATCTTTCTTTCTCCTTTCCTGTCTTATCTTTTCCTCATTCTTTCCCTGAAAAACTAACTTTTAAATATGTAAACAAAAGATAATAAAGTTCAAAATACTTGAGAGTATAATAATGATATTCGATCCTCAGATGACTAATCATCATGTGTTCTGGCACACTTCATCCATTCACAGAATATCTCCTAATGAAATACATCTGCTATTCTCTCCATGGCCAGGACATTCACTCATTTATTCAACAAACATTGATGCCTTTTGTGGCCAAGGCATTACGCCAGATATATACAGGACACAAAGAAAAGTTCTAATTATTCTTTTATTATTCTCTTAATCATGAGGTCAGTTACTGAAGCTCACAGTCTAGTAAGGGAAAACTTATTAATAGATGGGGAAAAATCATAAGGCAGAATTTCCAAACAATCAGCGTGATATCTAGGAATCAATATTTTATCAACCTTCTAGACTTTCTGTTATTTGAGAAGAATAAAATCTCTAATTTGTTCAAGCATTGCATTAAAAAATAAGTTATACATATAGTTAGTTTTACAACTTTTAAAAAGTATATTTATTGCAAGATAAAACACAAATAATAGAAAACCAAATAAATCAACTGCAAGGCTTAGTGAATACGTGGTAAACAAAACACAGATCAAGAAGAACCTCGCCAGCAATCAATCTGAAAAGCCCCTTCCGTGTGCCCCAGTCACAGCTGCCTCTCTGCTGCCGCAGTGACCGCTGTCCCGACTCTTCTAGTAACCAGCTTCCTGATTTTTCCTACAGTTTTCTCACCCAAATGTGCATATTCAGACACTACAGTTCCATCTCACTCTGTTAAAAATGAGATGTTTTAAACCTCTTTTCATCTAGAGTTTCCTCCTCCATTTTTTCCTTTCCTTATAATTTATTTGTTAAAGAATCTGGAACATGTTACCCATAGTTTCCAAGAGCATGGATTTTGATAAATGCAGTCTCTCAGCGCAGTTTAATGTGTTCCCTTATCTTCTACACTTTCTGTGATCAGACTCAGATTTAATCCCTCTGGTAAACACTACAGGTAATTTTTTAAAAATATTTTAGTTATTATTTTAGAGAGAGGGGAAAGAGATGGAGAAAAACATCGATGTGAAAGAGAAACATCAACAGGTTGCTTCTCGCACGTGCCTGTCTGGGGACTAAACGCGTAACCCAGGCAGGTGCCCTGACTGGAAACTGACCCGGTAACCTTACACTTTGCGGGACGACACCCAGCCCACTGAGCCACACTGGCCAGGTCAAACTACAGGTAATGTTTGGCAAGACTTGGCACATCATATCTGCTTGTTTGTCTTCTTGTGACAAGTTAGTGACGCTTAGGTCTGCACTCACTGAGGAATGTAACATGATGATGCTCTATCTCTATGACTTTCATTTATCAATAGAATACTTATAAAAAGAGACAATTCTCCTCAACTACTATTGGGTTACTCTGTACTATGTAGTTCACATACAGGAAGAATAAATGCTTGATTCATTTCCTTTACTGGTAAGTTTTCAAGATAACGAACTGGTTTCCTGACATATTCTGGAATAACAGTATTTTTAAAAGATCTTATTGATTCATTTTTAGAGTGAGGGGAAGGGAGGGGCAGAGAGAGAGAGAAATATAGAACAGTTGCCCCAGCTGGGACCGGGCTCATAGCCCAGGCTCATAGCCCAGGCATGGGTCCCACCCAGGAATCAAACTGGCAATATTTTGCTTTGCAGGATGATGCCCGACCAACTGAGCCACAATGACCAGGGTCAGAATAACAACATTTCAATTTTAATATTATTATGAATTCATGGATTTTAATTCATGTAATTATATATTTTATATATCAAGTATTTAATGGTTTGCTTTTCACAATGGTTTTGCTTTTTAGATTCACATCAGGTGATGTGAGCTTAAACTACATTTCATTTTGTAGGCTTCCACAAGAGGACATTGAAAATAGGACAGAGACATACCCAACTGCTGGAACAGGAGGGCCACGCTCGTGCCTGTGACAGGAAGGCTGTCGTGCAAAGGAGTCTGGATCAGCTGCCGATCTCCTGCACCCAAGGAAAACAGCTTCTGCAGCGTGGGGAAAACATGTACACACACAAATACATAAAAGATTTCTTTCCAGACATTTTCTTAAGATTAAAAAACCCTTTGATGTTCAGATTTAGAGCAGGTAATGACCATATTAACGTCCACCCTACAGATGCAAAGGGCAACAGTGTCACCCAAAACATTCAAGTTACTTTGCACCCAACTGAATATGGTACAAGAAAATTCAGTAGTTGAAAATTTAACAACAAAATACAAAAATCACTGACAATCATACTTAAGCGAAAAACAATAAAATGTTAGAGTCATCATTTATATGCCAATTACAGTTCAATAAAACTGGAAAATATAAAAGAAATATAATAAGAACCACATTATTACATACAATAATTTTTTAAATTTCTAGTAGCTACCATAAACATTTTTAATTAAAATGTAAATAAAATAAAGCTAACAAAAATCCCATTAAAATAATGGCCCATAAAATAATTCCACTGCTTAAAGCTTGCTCCAATTTCGAGCAAGCCCACCTTTCAAATTCTGTCTTTGGAGCAGAGGTAGGAGAGTAAAGGAAGAGAGTGCAAGAGGCAAAAGCAAGGGAAATAGACTTGAAATAAAAAAGACACTGGGATAGACAGAAGACACTTAAAAAGACAAGGGGCAAGGAAAAAGGATGGTAATTTCATTGTAAATAATCTTTGCTAGATTGAGGATAAATTACATAATTTTTAGAGGACTATCCTCTTCACCAATATCACATAAGGATAAACAAAGTAAGTGATCAACTAATCAATTCTAGGGCTTCAGGAAAAGGTTTTTTTGTTGTTGTTTTTTTTAAAGTATCGTGCATTAGCTATATTAAGTCAAAGAGCTGACATTCTTATTCTTCTACTTCAGAGACAAATATGAAAATCTCAAGACACACAGCAGATGAAAAGCATGACCACTTTGAGAAAGTTTTATTTTAGTAGAAGAGCTTAATTTCCTGTTTGATGCTCAAACTATGGCAAAATCCTTGGGAGATTTTCGGGTATAGATTACACTCCCCAATGATCTGTGATTTTGGAAAATGATTAACATTACTGTTATTAAAGGTAGCAAACTGAAATAAGAAAAATAAACCCTTTTCTTTCAAATTTGAAAACTAAGCTACTCTATTAAAGATTACATGCAATGCACAAAAGAGTTTTAAGACCACATATTATTATTATTATCCAGGGAAATAAATAAATTAATGGATCTATTCAGAAATAATTATAAGGTAACAAAAAACTGTTGAGGGTTTTCTTAATAATACTGCCTATTTTTTCCACTCAAAAATTTCTGATCGTTAATTAAACGAGGCATAACTATATAGAGTAAGGGGGGGGTACAAGGAAAACATTTTAAAAGTTTGACTTTAAAACGTGTATTACAAGAAAATGTAAACTGGAGTTCAAGTTACACAAAATATAACTTCTAATTACACTATGTGAAAGGTGAACCCTGTGTTAAAATTAACCTCATGACCTTAGAAAAGAATGGAATCTTGGGTCTCTAGAAGGCAGACCATAGGGACATTGCTTAACTAAGAGCCTCTTAAAAACATAAATATTTAAAGAATTCTTTTTTTCCCCTTTCTTCACAAATTAAATTAACTGGACAAGAGGGCAAGAGGCACAGGCCCTCTTCATCTGCCTTTTGCTCTATTTACCTGAGACCCTCCAGCCGCCGGGACAAGGCATGCACACAGGTTTGCAATGAGGCTTTCCAAGGAGACATTCAGACTGTCCACATACACAGTGTAGATCAAACCCAGGCAAGCCTGCAAAGGGAAGGCGCGTGTCATTATTTCATGGAAAAAGTAAGCACTAAAAATAAATTGTGGTGACATCTGCTCCTAGGAAAATTTCTCTTTGAACCTAGTAGAGTATATTGTACAGTGACATGGACTAAATTTGAAGCAGCAAATGTTATTAAGTTTATTAAATTTTCCTCCAGAACCAGAAGCTCTAAATGAGCTTTTGAAAGGAGTTTATAAAAAGCAGAAACCCACAGTTTGTGAAACAGGTGTCTGTGCTGAGAAAACCACTCTAGCAAATGTGTAGAGCTCAAAATTGTTTTCTTTTTGGTCTCATAACAAACATTTAGAAATTTATTTTGTTTTGTGACTCTTATAAATTCAGAACATTCTATATAAAAATTTAACCTATGTGAATTATTACAAAAGATCACAAAATAAAGACAAGATACGATTAACACTTTAAGCCTCAGAAGACAAAATATAATCTTTATGAATCTTTCAGGTTATTAAATTCCGTAATTATAAAAAATTATTTGTTAGGAATCACTTCATTGTCACTAAAATATTGACACCAAGATAATTTTTAAAAAATGCGTATTTCAATGAAATAATAAAATTTGCAGAAATTATGTACTAAGTTCCAAAATAGTTTGGAAGATTTTAGGTATGGTTTATACTTTCCAAAGTAGATCTGTGATTTTGGACCAGGGTCAACATACTAATGCTAAAGGTAGCAGCTGCAATTTTTTTTTAAGATTTTATTTTTATTTATCTTTAGAGGGGAAGGGAGAGAGAGAGGGAGAGAAACATCAATGTATGGTTGCCTTTCGTGCGTCCCCTGCTGGGAACTGGCCTGCAGGGAACCTGCCTGCAACCCTGGCATGTGCCCTAACTGGGAATCGAACCGTGATTGTCTGGTTCGCAGGCCCACGCTCAATCCACTGAGCTACACCAGCGAGGGTTGCAATTTTTTATAAAAAGCCCTCTTTTTTCAAAGCTTAAATGTATTTATAGCTAAATTAAAATTTTTCCTTACATTTGAGAATTGTGTCTAAAAAACAAAATACCTAATGTAAACAATATTTTTAAAGCTATGTTGGCAGTGATAGTATCAGAACTACCTTAAACCATAAATATCCATCCTCTTTACTTCAACCTGGACTCATCAAAAGAAGGTGAGTAAAAGCACACAGAGTTGTTATAGTGCTAATGTATTTTACATTTGCTGCAGGTAATCCAATGATCTCTTTAAGATACTACATTTTTGGAATCTGTAAACATGGAACCTTTAAAAAACACTACATTCTTAAAATGTAAATAGTCACATGAACTTACTCAGGTATTTATTTCATCCAACATAAAACACTTCTTCTGTTAACACCAATTTCATTGAATTCCTAAGTCAATTTAATTTAAATACAAGGATATTTGAAATACAAAGGACTGTTAAAATGGTTTGCTCAAAACAGATTTACATAATAATATAATATTTTATACATATTGACAACAAAGAGTTCTTTACCCTAAAAATTTCCGGATAATCTAATCTGGACACCAGCACCAGGCTTTTGGGAGCAAACACTTCCGCAGGCTGAATTAAACCAGTCACTTCTACTTCACCTTCAGTCTCTTCCTTCTTTGTTCCCTAGAAAAAGAGGCACTGCAATCAACACAGATAGAATTTCCTAGGTTTATAACTCACAAAAGATAGGCGATCACACTCTCATATAATTTACAAAATCCAAAATTAATTGCATGATATAATTTATAATATAATTAACAAAACTCAAATTAAAAACAAAAAGCATACTTTGAAAGCCACCTAAATTAAAATGCAGGGCATACTTACTTCATGTTTGAAAAGCTCCTTAAGCCCTAGATATGAACCACAACTTTATTTGAGCATTTGGGTTCTGTGTGAGGTAACCAGTAATCAAAGGTAAATTAGACACACTGAAGTTATTTTAAATAGCAACCCCAAACTAAAAATGACATTTATTTAAATGAAAAGTCAGTTTTTAAGAAAGAAAAATCTGTTTTAGAAGTCAGGCACTCATTTTCATTTTTGTCTTTCTGCTTGTCCAAATCTTTCAAACAAAAGTGATAAATTCTTTTAGAATTCTAAGGCTTGCAGACTGTTTGATGCTCTTAGAAGTAAAGCCCAAACAGCCTAAATTCATTTTGTCCCTGAGCAACAGTGTTGATTTCTTTAAAAGAAAGAATGTTGTCTTTAAAAGGAAGAAATATTAAACTAACCTTCAGAATGCCCTTCATGACACTTAAAAATGGCTAAAATGGCAAATCTTTTGTCATATATATTTTAGCACAAGAAAAATATCTAGAATAAAAAACACCCAAGTTTCACTTATCAAATATTGGTTAATGAAATAAACTTTGAACAATATTACTCTCATTTATTAGTTAACAAACATTTCCCATGCACCTACTGTTCCATAATACTGTATGGTGCACTATAAAAGTTTTAAGTAAAAAATAATACAAGGTAGTAGAGAAATAAATAAATTCATCTTTATTTCTAGATGATATTGTAACATGTTAGGACATTTTCCCTAACTAGAATTTTCTTTTCTTTCCTTTCCAATAATCAAAGGTCTGCTTGAAATTTATCTTCCTTCCTAAAGCCTTCCCTTTGATGATTTTCCTCTTACTCTCAATTCCTAGTACAGTTCCCCAACATGTCACACCTGCTCATACTTAGTCTTCCTGCCAAACCTCTCCCCCAAATGCCACAAAATGCCATATCCAGCTTGACATCTCCACTTGAATGACTCCCATTTGTTGCCAGGTATAATGTGCTCCCATGTATAATGTGCACCACGTTTTTGTGCACGATATACATGGGATTATAAGACCCATTATTACGCCCATGGCATATAGTCATTATATCCCTGTATAATGTGCATCCTTATTTTTCCCTCAAAAATTCAGGCCAGCCCTGGCTGGCATAGCTCAGTGGATTGAGCGAGGGCCTGTGAACCAGAGTATCGCAGTTCAATTCCCAGTCAGGGCACATGCCTGGGTTGCAGGCCAGTTCCCAGCAGGAGACGCATAAGAGGCAACCATACACTGATATTTCTCTCCCACTCTTTCTCCTTCCCTTCCCCTCTCTTGAAAAATAAATAAATAAAAATATTTTTTAAAAAAAACTTAAAAAAAAATTCAGGCCCAAAAAAGTACTCATTATACACAGTGAAAAATGGGTAATGGGTATCTCAAAGATGCCCAAAACATAGCTCCAATCTTTCTCCCCAAACTCCACTCCTCCTGCAAAATTCCCGATCTTAGTGGAAATCCTATCCTTGAATTTAGCAAATCAAAAATCTTGATTCCCCTTTCTGCCATACCCCATATCCAAACTGTCAACAAATCCTGATTTCTTACCATTTCTATTGCTACCACAACTCTGCGAGTGACCATCATTGCTTGTCTGAATTATTTTGAAGAGGTTCCCTCAGTTTCCTCTATTCCTCTTTAGCCCCACTTTGCCTCCCTGCTCTCCTTAAACGTGCTGGGCATTCTTCCTGCCAAGGGTCTTAAGCATGTTTGTTGTTCCTTTGCCTGGATGCCTTGTCCCACAGATAGCCTAATGACTTCCTTAGGTAGGTAGGGGTCTTCATTGAAGGGACTTCTGCTCTGTTAAGCCTTTGCTGGCATCCTCCTTGAAACTGCAAGGCCCTAACAGTAACTAGTCCCATTCCTTGCTTTATCTTTTTTCATTGCATTTATTACCATCCAACGTATTATCCATTGTTACATTGTGTTTTGCTCCATGAAGACTAGGATTTATTTCTGCCTGGTTTCTTCCCTCTAATTTCCAACTTCCTAAAACAAGAGCTGGGCATATAGTTGATACTTACTATTTATTTCTTGCATATATGCAGGAATGAATTTTCTTTGAATAGTTTTCTGGGTATTTTACGAAGGGAAGTCTCCTTCCCCTAGTCATAGAGGCCAGAATTGTATTTTCTATTTCCTTTGGCCCCTGCACAGTTTTTAGTTCAGTGAAAGATAACCACGTTATTAAATATCTATAAAATGTACCTATCCAAAGGGAACTATCCATTTACTTTTTGTATGTGTGATATGGTCCATATGCTCTTGAAAGGTTTTCATTTGTTACAAAGCAAATGCTAAAATTAGATTGTTTGGTTTCTGGAATCCTTAGAAATCATAAAAATGTGATGAATATAAATTTACCAAAGATTTCCACACCTAATGAATCATATTCTTTGTGGATTACTAATAAATTTGAAATGACAAAGGAATGACTGAAATTCCTGAAAGAGATAAAGCTGTCCACATTTTTATGAGACCGTGATAAACGCCCTGGAGTACCATTAGAAGTCAGCGTGAGCGAGTAGACAACCATTTCAAATAAATGACCAGTAACCCACTTTAACCAAAACACAAAACAAAACGCACTGGGTCATTTCTTAAAGCTTAATTTAGTTCTTTATGTAAACATTCACTGAATGGCATAGTTATTAACAAGAAAGAAAAAAGGTCCGATATGATTTAAATATTTAAATCACTTTTCATTATAGATGAAAAAGATGTTGACATTTACTTTGTAAATGTGCTATAAATGATAAGATGCTGTTATTCTAAGTTCTAATAGCGCTCCTAAAAGAATATGTTTTAAGTTTAGAGAATTCATGTTCCTTTTTTCAAAGCAAAATTTATGGCTATGACTGAAAAAAAATTTAACCCCCAAAAATGTTGATAAAATAAGATTTGTTCTTGAGATAGTAACGTGGTATTTTTGATAGAATTTTTCTATTAATAATTTATCATGTGAGGGAGTACTGCCTCTTCCCTGTACCTGCTTGAGTATCTTTTGTGTAATAATTATGTAATTATACTAGATTTATTTGGTTTGGTTTTACAAGGAGAGATTTTCACATACTGAAAACATCTGAGAACCTTAATAAGCAGAAAATTAAAAATAGGCTTTGAGTTAACAGATGTTATAATAATGCCATAGAATGTAATATTTTATTATATAAAACATTTTCACATATTTTAATTCACTGAACAGTGTTTGCAAGCATTCTTCTAACCTAAGGTTATTCCATGATTTAAGCAGGTTCCCTTAAAGATACAAATTCACTTTAAATACTACTGAGTTATCTCACAGTGACTGCATGATCTCCTACCTCTCCTACAGGTCATCAGCACCTGCCATAACCTGCCCATTTATAGAGTTTTCTACTTATTAGTACTATGGACTACATCTGCCAGTGGGATTCCCAACTTCTGTGTAGTTTACATTCTTATAGTTCATAGTCTCTCTGCTTCATGATATGGGATTAATTAATACCCACCATATCAATTTGCTCCCAAAATGCTATTGCCCTGTAAACACAGCCTGAGACAAAAATGCTAATAATTACTAGATTGTTGACTTTAAGTGATGTCCCCACAGAGCAGATAGGCACAATCTTTGGGAAGTTCATCCTATCACTGAGGCTGAGCACTTTGATGTCATCTTTGTTGCACTCCTAATACTTGATTCCTTTCTACCCGGAAAATACTTGTTGCATTCAATATCCTATGTGTGCTAAGTTTGTTATCAATAATACCATTTCACACTAAAACTTCCCTACAAATTTATGTAAACACTAAGTTTGAAAAGAAGGGTAAAAGGAATTATGCAAATAAAAAACTTTCTGTCTCACATTTCCTTTTTGAAATGTAAGTAATTTGTTACAGCGTACATTACATAGAGTTGCCTCAGTAAAGCAATTTAAAGACTTAAACATTTTTCAATATTAAAAATAAAGGAGTCTAAGTAACTGCAAAATTCTGTAAGGTCTACGATTCCCTCTGAAAAGCATCTTTATTTTTTGCCAAATAATCTGTTAATCTGTTACATGTCCACATGATAAAACCTAGTTTTTCTTGCCTGGTCTGGAAAATAATGACTAAGTGAAAAATACGCATTCTAGGATAACAAGACTATATACAAATTAGGCCACTAGTTTTCAATTCAGAATCTAGTTTACCTCCAGCATAAACCAAAAAACAAAAAACCCTAATATTTTCCCCTTCAAGAGCTCCTGGGCTCTATAGTACTTTGAAGGTGGGACAAATTCATTTGCAGGGCTACTATATACTCACCCTAGAAAGCTTCCTGTATCTAAGTGGCACAAAGTCTACAGGTTCTTTTAAATACATTCCAAAGGCAGCATTTTCCAAAGTAGGGTTTTTTTTTAACTTTTTTTTTACCCTTATTCTAGGACATGCTTATTGATTTTACAGAGAGACGAGAAAGGAGAGAGAGCGGGAGAGAAACACTGATGTGAGATGGAAACACTGATCGGGCGCCTCTCACACATGCCCCAAGTGGGACTGAACCTGCAACCTAGGCATGCGCCCTGACTGGGAACTGAGCCCACGACCTCCCAATTTACGGGACGACACTCCAACCAACTGAGTTACACTGCCAGGGATGAAGTGTTTTTTACTGGAGGCAAATAGATATTACTTAGCAAATGGTCTACTAACCAAAGAATTTTGGCAACAATAACTTAAAGGCAAGTTAAAAAGATTTCTTCACTGCAGAATTTCTCAGACTTTGATACTCAAAGGCCTAGAAGGTTTTACTCCAAAAGAACAGGAGTT